TCAAAACTTTTTAGGACAGTAAAAATGACTAGTTTTTCTTCAACGTATCTTTTCTGATAGGAAAGTGAATCTAGTTTGAACTTCAGAACTTCAGGAAGTGTAAAGTAAAAAAATTCAAAGTAGTTTTCAAAAGCGACGTGAAAAACAAAAGAAAAATTAAGAAAAAACTGGAATTTGTACGAAAAATCTGTTTTACAACATTTGATATTCACTCGATTTCTCATGTAACGATTTTCTTATTTTTTTGTTATTAAAAAACGAATGACTGTAGATACTTGAAAATTTCACTGAATATTTATATTAGCATTTTCAATACACATAAAATTTTGAAAATAACTTTACTCTTTTTGAGCTGTTTACGGATATCGTCAGTTTTTAGTTTTTTTATTTTTTTTTTCTATAGATATCAATAACATTTTATTTGATGGTTTAAAAAGCTTGAAAATTTAATGCAAGGTTCCTGATTATTGTTATAATAGCAGTTGAAAAATATTAAAAATACATTTTCACAAGTTTTTTTAAAAGCATTTAAAGTCGAATTCTGACAAAATTTATCAAATTTATAATGCAATAATTATTTTGTAGTTAAAAATGTAAAAATGTTCAACTTTTATAACTAAGGATTGAAAATTTAAAACAAGGGTTCACCTAAATACTAAATAGGTTATAAATAAATTACTTTATGCACAATAATATCATTAAATACCTATACATAGTAATAAAATAGGCTGACTGACCATTTTCGCTCAGAATCGTTTTTCTTATACAATGATATAATGTCAATGAATTCAAATTTAACACCATCCATTACAGTAACCCACTTGTAAGTTGTAACCTACTATAAAGCAGGCGACATCCACTTATCCACTTTTTTTTTATTAATTTTATACAACTTAGGTAGGTATACCTAAATCACTGCAGAGATTACAATTTTAATACGGGCACACAAATATTTTGATAATAATAATTATAAACATAACTCATAAGTCAAATCATCAACAAACTTAATTTGTTTAATATATGTATTGCTTAAGAGTATTATTGATAAATAAGAATATTTAAATCTATAAATTTGTAGTGTCGACGACGACTTAAGATAGTAATTAATTCAGTTCATTACATATAGATAGAAACATATTAGTAGAAACCTTTACATAGTTAGATTAGAAATTTAATACAAAATGTATTATGTTTGTATCTATAATGTGGCTATGTGAAGTTTTAGCGTTCTCCTTTAAAATTAAATGTTATGAAGCCATATCAAAAGTCGCATAATTATTTACCCCGTGCTTACAAACAATTTATGTCTCCCATAATAAACAGCCCAAAGCATTATATTTTGTGTTTTAAAGACAAATGATTTATTTGTTTCATTTCTGTTTAATATAGTTTTCGTTTTTAACCGTTTTTGTAACAAATGGTGTTTTATTTAAAACGGTTAATTTGTACGCGTAACTGTTCAAAAGTATTATTGATATTGACATCTTCTTATTTACATTAGTTAATTATTATTCAGATAAAAAGAGACCTCGAATTTTCTAAATAGTTTAAATTAAAAGTCGTATAGCATAATAGAACTTTTCTTTATTTATTGAAAATTAATTTAGTAAGTACCTAGGAACTTATATATAATATTATACTTTTATAATAATATTGTATAAATAAATCAGATTGTTAGTTATTTTAGACCTAACTTACTGATTTAACAAACGAGCAGCCACATGATTGCAATTTTGGACACATATTTTAGATTCTGATTGGAGCGAGGTAGCTAGTGGTTTTCCAATGATATTTATTTTTTTCATCCTGTAAACAAATGTTCTACCTAATGGAGTGCTATGATTTCAACATATTATAGTATCTTATCTTTTAACAAATTGGAGCAAGATTGTACATTAGAATAGTAATTTTTAAATTATCTCAATAGTTTTATAACGGCATGGGGAAACCACCAAATTTTATTTTTCTAACCGAATCCAAATTATTTGTATTATAATTTACATACATTTGCAACCAATACTTATAGCTTCAACTTTGAATGTACATTCATGAAACAACTTTTAGACAATAATTATTTCCTCAATTTATTCTAAAAATAAAATGTTTGTATTGTTTATTATTTTTAATTTGTGATAAACTAATTTTTTAGTAGGTTCTTATTTTAGATACCTACTACGACATTATAACTACGATACTACGATATTATAAGTATTAAGTATACATACCAATTTATACCTGATTTACGATCTAGTCTTAATATACCTACGGTCTTGAAAATAATTAACATTTGAAAAGTATTTTTATGTATGTATAATTTCTTATAAATCCTTTCGTATTTTTTAAATGAAGGCCTTTTTCATTATTTGACAAAATAATGGTTTTATGGTACTAACTATGAAACCTACAGGGCAACTCAATCATACGAGCATAATATTATATTGATATTATAGATACAATAGAAATTAGAAAAAAGATTTGATTCAGTTTAATAATATTAGGGGGCATACCTATGTACTTCGGTAAACAAAAAAAAAAAAAAAATTACTCTGATTTTTAAGGTTTTCTTTGAAACACATATAACTCGATACAATTATACAGTTATATTATACCATCGTGTAATATGCACATTATTGTATCAAATCTTAATTTGTGCTAAGTTAAAATAATTAATGGTCATTTTTTTTTTAACTTATTCCTAGATATTCTATTCATCAACCAAGTAAATTTTAATAGAGTAGAGTGTTGAATTTTCCTTGGAAAATCAAAGAACGTTTGGAAACACATCAAACGATTATATGAATGTACTTATAGATTTATTTATTCATTCAATCACTCAGTATCTTAGTTTATTTCGTTTTTCTAAGCAAAACAGTACGAATCATGAATGTGCATTTTACCAAAGTTTTTGAAAAAAGTGTACTTAAACGTATTCGTATCCAAACGCAGTATCATTGTAAAAATATGAAGTAAGTAAACAAACATTATGTTCATTTATTCAATTTATGTAAAAAAAAACAAAATTATGAGGAAAAATTATCGTATTCCTTAATTTTTATTTGGGTATTCCTGGTGCTTTTGTAAATATTGGGAGTATTTTTACTTCTGACCCTTCAAAGTACCAACTAGATTCATTTTCCTTTTAGAAAAAATGCTGTTGAAAAATATCTAAGCATTTTTCCTATCCTAAAAGGTTATATAAATATAACTAAAAAATAAAATGGAAAAACACACATCATTGTGAAAAGAATGTACACATTTTGAAACTGTGAAGACAAATTTGTAAAAATTCTATAACAATTGCTCACAATGTTTTGACTTGAATTTTAAACATGGTTGTAACAGAGTCTTCCAATTACTGACAGATAGTGGTTACTTCTGCGAAAGGTGAGGAGTATTATTGGTGTTACAAAATTGATACTCAAGAAATAATTATTATATTTGAATTTTAGATTTTATAAATACTTTGTTTTGTACTCAAAATAATAAGCTCTATTTAAAGTTTAAAAAGTAATACAACAATAAATACTGGCTTAAAAATCTGTTTAAGTCAATATATTTTAAACAGAAAAGCATAGTAACCAAATATTTGTATAAAAAACAAATACGCATTAAATAAAATATTATTAACTAATAGAAGCAGACTATACACCAGAGGACTACTATGGAGAAGAAATCTTACCCATGTGATGTCTGTGACAAGTCGTTCTCTGTGAGTAGCAATTTGATGGCACATCGACGAACGCACACTGGCGAAAAACCGTACGCGTGCGATGTATGCGACAAGTATTTCACTCAAAGTGGCAATTTGACATTACATAGACTCACGCACACTGGCGAAAAACCGTACGAGTGCGATATATGCGACAAGTCGTTCTCTGTGAGTAGCCATTTGACATCACATCGACGAACACACACTGGTGAAAAACCGTTCGCGTGCGATATATGCGACAAGTCGTTCTCTGTGAGTAGCCATTTGACATCACATCGACGAACGCACACTGGTGAAAAACCGTACGCGTGCGATGTATGTGACAAGTATTTCACTCAAAATGGCGATTTGACAAAACATAGACTCACGCACACTGGTGAAAAACCGTACGCATGCGATATATGCGACAAGTATTTCACTCAAAGTGGCAATTTGACATGACATAGACGCACGCACACTGGCGAAAAACCGTACGAGTGCGATATATGCGACAAGTCGTTCTCTGTGAGTAGCCATTTGACATCACATCGACGAACGCACACTGGTGAAAACCCGTACGCATGCGATGTATGCGACAAGTCGTTCTCTGTTAATAAAAGTTTGACTGCACATCGACGCACACACTCTGCCGAGAAACCGTAAGCATGGGATGTATGTGAAATGTCTTTCTCTGTAAGTGGCTTTTTTATGGATTTTTATTTAATAATATTTGAAACACATTAAAGGACTATACAACTAAAAAAACCTATTTTTTTTTATTGTTTTAATGTATAGGGCTTTGAAAAATAATAATTTTGGTGGTCTTAAAATTGTTGTCGGACAATTGGTTCCGTGTTTAAATATAAGTCGCGTTTTACGCGTGACGTCATATAATCACATCGTCCGACGGGTCGTATCTAATATACACGCGCGGAATTTATTTCACGCGATTAAAATAATTATAGAGAAAAATTAATTAAAGGTACAAGTTATTAAAGTACATTTATAAAAAGGTTATACACTTCTTTAGGTGGTCATATTATTTTTATTGTGTTGAAATTTGTTTCAGGGTAGTTTATAGGAAAGACAAAAAATAAAATTTACATATAAGGTATATTTAATAATATTATAATCCGTTATTTAATGTATTAACGAATGTGTTATTATAATTAATAATATAAGAACTGAAATTAATGTGTAAAAAAAACTGAAAATAAATTATATTACTTCAAACAAAAATACATAATATATTATACGTAATTGAATTATTATAATTATCATTACCTAGTTAGGTATATTATATATTTACTATTTAGGTAAATCTTGAATATCTTTTTGATTTTAATTCTTCATAGGGTGGGCGAGGTGTTCGATAAATATTTTTTGGGATGTCGGTATTACATTCTTTTTGTACATCAAACGGCCGTGGAGAAATTTCTTTTTCAGCTTCTTCGATAATTGTTGACATTATATCACGTTTCCAGTTATTTTGAGTCTTATTGTAAGAATTTTTTATTGTAAATCGTCCTAGTGGTTTAGAAAATACAACTTTTTCTCCTATTAATGTTTTTTTAGTATTATTGTTATGGTCGAGTATTGCTAATATAGATCGTACGAACATACCATTGAACTGTAAATGGATACGTTTAGGCATATACTTGAGCCTCACGTTGTGATAGGATTCCAATTTTCCGGTGTGCACAAAATGTTTTGCTTGTCTCAAATCTTTAATGAAGTCCTTCGCAGTTAGAATTTTTTTTAAAGCATCATAGGAACTAGTTTTCATATGTATCCAAAGCTTATTTTTTACTTGTTCGTCCGTCAGTTTTTCATGTTCGCATTGTTTTGTTATACCGTTTTCGTCTGTCCATTCATGAATATTAGCAATATGATATAAAATAGAAAGAAATTTATCTTCTAATAAATCGGCATTTTCTTCGCACGTCTGTGCTGACCACCATAAGTGATTATTAATACTTGATTTCCATAAATATACATCGGGATATTTTCTCTCTAATATCTTCATTCTTTTCATTAGACTTTTTGACAGGTGCCATATGTCAAACTCATGATTTATTTCGGGGTGTTGGATCCGAAAAAAATATCGAATACCTCTATGACGGTCAGATAAAAACAGTTGAATCTTACAATCATATTCTACAATAAATTTTTGTATCAACATTTCGCATGCGGCTCTTTCGAGGTCACCCGTGACCATCCCTTTTTGGACTAATTGAAAATCAATTATTTTAGAACTATTTAAATCCATAACCGAATAAATGCAATATTTTGCGCAAAAACCTGGCGAATCGTATTGGCCATCACCAGCAAGCCAGATGTTGGGTAATGTCTTTAAATTATTTAAATTATCTTGTTTGTGATAAGTCCAAACATTGTAAACCACAGGTCTAATATATTTTTTTATGATTTTGTCATAAGATGTTCTAGAGAAAAAACGTAGATTCAATACTTGACAAAATTCAACCATTTGCGCAAATAATATACCTGATAACATTAGTGCCGATCCAATGCATATATTACCAATTGCTCTTTTTTTAATTTTTTTTTGTGAGTACCACTGAAACGTATGATTTTTTTCACATGCAGTAGTTACACATAGACAAGAACCTTGAATAAAATTGTTTAATGATAATATTTTTGACCCACACACATTACAATTATTAAAAAGCTTTGATAGGCATTCCCAAAAAACGATAAAACACTCATCCTTATTAAAATTTATTGATGATTTAACATTTTTTGACTTACAAGTATTATAATTGTTTTGCGATTCTGAAGTCTCATCATCACTGGTGTTTTCGCTGTCCTCGGATTCCGATTCTATTTCAAACGATAAGTCATTTTTTTTTCATAATTAATTATTCTGATCAAATTTTCGTTTCCCAATTCACACTGTATTCCTATTTCACTTGTTTTTTGAATTTTATTATTGACATCTGGCTCCTCAATAGTTGAAACATCGTCAATTTCTTCAAAAAACGACGACTTTGTTACCATTTTTTTCTTCGGTGTACTAGTTTTTATTAAATCATCAATTATTTCTATTTGGCGTTTTTTCATAATATGCAGTGATTCTTGCCTGGGATTTACAGATTTTTTTGAATTGCTTATACCAGTTTGAATACTAGGTACAGCGTCGGGATTTAATCTTACAATGCACTTGGATTCTGGCATAAGTTGTTTTTTTAAAACATCTGATTGATTAAAATAAAGCGGAATAAAATGTTTAGAACAAATAACCGACCCAGCACTAGGCTTAAAATTTTTTCTTTTACAAAAATGCTCCCATTTTCGATGTCGTAATGGTGATTTATCGCGTTTTGGAAAAGTGTAAAAATGCAAGTTATTATCATTATAAACTGTTTTACGTTTACGATCGTTATTCGACGCACAACCAAAAACCGAGCACAAAGTCATATTTGTTTGATTATAAATAAAACTAGAAAACACGCGGATACTTCGATACTTCACGGTACATACTGTCGACTATCGACTGAGGTCTGACTGTCTGAGGTATAATTTATATTTATGCGTAGTGTGAATAGCCCGTTTATTTTTATCAATTAATTTATATTACATAAAATATAAGCTATTTATAAAAGCTATAAATAATATACTTCATTGGTGATTACGTATACAAATTCATATGGTCGTTTATTACAGTACCTACTGCAGTGTGCGCTGACTGATTCAACTTCAGCGCTAGAGTCTAAAACAGTAAACGATTTTTGTTCTATTTTGAATTTTATAATACAATTATTATGTCTATAATTCCGTACAATTTTGAGCCTTTGGTTACCGATGTTGATAACTATGATTATTTGGAAAACGAAGAATCAGTAGTTAGTTACAACGATAGATCTAAATTAGCTGTAACAGATTGGTGCTCGTGTGGAAAATGTGAAAAACAAATAAATGATCGTGAATGTGTTTGTTGTTTTGAACTTGCGAATATTTTTAAAATGTGCACAAACAATGAGTGCATAACAAAAAGTGCCTCATTTTCAAAAATTATATTAGATGAAGACATTTTAAAAATTACCAGACAATACAAAATTTCAAAAACAAAGAATAAAACAAAAAAAAGAAGTTTACAATCAGCTACTATGGAAAATAAAGCATGGCGATATATTTGCTACAAACAGTTTACACTTTGGGTTAATTCATGGATGACAATTGGAAGAGGTAAGTAAATTTATTTTCGATAGTGTCACAGTGATAAAATCATAGGTAAGTAAAAAAATATAATAATTTATTGTTTATTGTGTTTGTTTTATACTATAGGGAATAGAGTTGTTATTCCATCATGTGTGGTCACAAAAATTCGTGAACGTTATCCGGAAGAAAACGGATTATATATTGGTTTTCAAAATCCGTGATTCATGTTATCTATTTCTTATTATAATAAGTTAAACATTATAATTCATAATATAGTACATAAAATAATAATATGTAAGTTGTTAGTTTTATAGTTGTTTAGTTACACTTCTATTCTAGGGTAGGTACTCACCTTTATTGAATGATAATATTTTATTTTGAGGTTTTTTTTACACATTAATTTCAGTTCTTATATTATTAATTATAATAACACATTCGTTAATACATTAAATAACGGATTATAATATTATTAAATATACCTTATATGTAAATTTTATTTTTTTGTCTTTCCTATAAACTACCCTGAAACAAATTTCAACACAATAAAAATAATATGACCATCTAAAGAAGTGTATAACCTTTTTATAAATGTACTTTAATAACTTGTACCTTTAATTAATTTTTCTCTATAATTATTTTAATCGCGCGAAATAAATTCCGCGCGTGTATATTAGATACGACCCGTCGGACGATGTGATTTTATGACGTCACGCGTAAAACGCGACTTATATTTAAACACGGAACCAATTGTCCGACAACAATTTTAAGACCACCAAAATTATTCTTTTTCAAAGCCCTATACATTAAAACAATAAAAAAAAATAGGTTTTTTTTAGTTGTATAGTCCTTTAACGTACATCAACGCACACACACTGGCGAAAAACTATACGCATGCGATGTATGCGTCAAGTCGTTCTCTGTGAGTAACAATTTGACGGTTCACAAGAGAACACACCCGAAACACTGATCCAATTGATCAAAGATGTATGATCCAAGGAACATATTTAAACATGATAAATCATAATCACATATTATTATTGTAGCATTGTTGAAGAATACTACAGAATACTGTAATAATTGTAATAATAATACACTATCCTGTCGGAGGACCGAAGGGACGATGGACAAACTTTCTCCTCCACTGACTTCCTCCTTCCTGCTGCACTTATCCGTTTTTTTTTTTAAATATTAAAACATACCTACATTTTTCTACTTTTATTATTACGGTAATATAAGTTCAAATCCTTATAATAATCATGAAGACATTATTTTGCAAAATAAAATGGGACAAAAATTATTTCATTTGATAACCTTTATTATATTGTTAATTTATTCAGAAATGTCGTTATATTACCTATATTCATCTGGTAAATTTGGTTCAGTTTCTAAAATCTAATAAATGCATTTCTTTCATAGTTTTAATGGCATATAAATATAAAAGGTCTTTAAAACAAATAATATTTGAAACACATTAACGTACATCAACGCACACACACTGGCGAAAAACTATATGCATGCGATGTATGCGTCAAGTCGTTCTCTGTGAGTAACAATTTGACGGTTCACAAGAGGACACACACGAAACACTGATCCGATTGATCAAACATGTATGATCCAAGGGACGTATTTAAACATGATAAATCATAATAACATATTATTATTGTAGCACTGTTAAAGTGTTATTTCTGTCTTGTATTTTTTTCTTAAAACTAATTTGGTGATCTATCATATCAGAAATAAATATTAAATTAAGTATGGTTTTCAATGTTTTAAAAACAAAAAGTGGTTTTTCATTTTCCATTTAAATAGTATTTAATTTAAACATTGTCTATTTTTTACATCAAAATTATTTGGTAGCTTACACCACCAAGGAACACCTTATATGAACGAGTCTATGTGTTTTAATAAATATACTGTTGTTGTTGTTGTTTTTATGTAAATATTATTGTTTCAAAAATTATCATTAAACATAAATTCGTGCTCATTAATATTATTATGCATTAGCAATATTAAGTTGATATTAGTTTAAAATATATATTTTCTATAGGTAGTGGGACAATAGGCTCCTGGTAAATTGTTACAATAGCAGTTGAAAAATATTGAAAATACATAGCCACATTTTTTTTTATAAGTATTTAAAATTCAAATATAGATAAAATCATTTAATAATATAAAGAATTTATAACGCCGTTTATAACTAATTTAGAAGTTCGCTTATAACTGTAATAACTAGTAAGTATAGCTATTGATTAGTAATTATCCAAAGATGATTATATGACCAAGGGGGTACGTTACACACTTAATGAATCCATCTGGATACGCCCTATAATATGGTTGACAATAGCTGTTCATCTAATTAAAAATTTAATTTAATTTAATTTAATGAATATTTTTAAAGTAGTTATGAGTTGAAGTATGTGGCATTGTTTTGGATTAAACAAATAGCATAGGTAGTTATTTGAGAAATAAAAAATTGTATTTATGGATTTAATGCATTGGTATTTATTTTTATGGTTCATTATTATTAGATTCTGAGCGGAGCGATGAATGTATTGGTTTTACAATGATGTATGTTTTTTTTTATATTTTTATTTATATTTTTATTTATATTTTTATTTATATTTTTATTTATCTTTTTGTGTCTGTCATCACGTTTTGGGACAGTAAAAGTGCTTCGATTTTTTTCAATAGTACCTTTTCTGATAGGAAAGTGAATCTAGTTGGTACTTTTGGGGGGTCAAAAGTAAACATTTTCCAGTAGTTTTCACAAGCGCCGGGAAAAACAACATAAAAATTAAGGAAAAACGGGAATTTTTACGCAAAATCGATTTTCCAAAAATCGAATTTGGTTTTTGGTGTAACTTTAAAACAAATGACCGCAGATACATGAAATTTTCACTGGTTGTTTATATTTGCATTTTCTATACACGATAACATTTTCAAAATATTTTGATTTATTTTGAACTGTTTAGGGACATTTTCATTTTTCATTTTTTTTTAGTTTTTTTTCTAGAAATATCAATAAAATTGTATTTGTTGGTTGCGAAAGCTTGAAAATTTAATAGAAGGCTCCTAATATGTTGTTTCAAAGGCAGATGAAAAATATTAAAAATCCTTAGTCACAATTTTTTTTTATAAGCATTTAAAGTTCAAAAATTGACAAAATATGGAAAAATCACGAAAATTAGCAAATTATTTTGAGTTAAGAATTCGTAAAAATTTTTCTTTTTAAATCTAAGATTTGAAAATGAAACACAAGATTCCTTATAAGATTATCTACCTTTATCAATAAAAAAATCTCTACCGGACAGTCAAATTAAATTTTTATGAGCGTTTGAAATTCAAATTTTTACAACATTGGATTTTCACTCGATTTCTCATGTAGCGATTTCCTTATTTTGTTGTAATTCAAAAACGAATAACTGTAGATACATGAAAATTTCACTGAATGTTTATATTAGCATTTCCTATACACCATACAATTTTGAAAATATTTTGACTCTTTTTGAGCTGTTTACGGATATTTTAATTTTTCAATTTTTTTTAGTTTTTTTTTCTATAAATATCAATAAAGTTTTATCTGTTGGGCCAAAAAGTGTAAAAATTTAATACAAGGCTCCTGATATATTGTTACAATATCAGTTGAAAAATATTAAAAATACATAGGCACGATTTTTTTTTATAAGCATTTAAAGTTGGAATTTTGACAAAATTTATCAAAATCTCAAAAATTATCAATCGTTGGAATTAAAAAATTATAAAATGTTCAGTTTTTATAACTAAGAGTTGAAAATTTAAAACAAAGATTCTCTTAAATAATTCATACTGTAACCAAAAAATCTAAAAAATATATAAACACACTTATTTTTTACAGACATTTTAATTTCAAATTTAGACAAAATGACAGTATCACGGTTTTTGTTGATGTATAACGCGTTATAACTGTTATAAGTATCTAATGGATATTGTGATATGATTAATTTGGAATTTATTATAGGTCATTTTTTTGTTTAATACCATAGATATGTATATAATATGTCTTATACATAGACTGACATACCGTCACCGCTCAGAATCGTTTTTCTTATACAATGATATTATATCATTGAATTCAAATTTAATACCATCCATTATACAGTGACCCACTTGTAACCTACTGTACAGCAGAGCGACACCCACTTGCCCACCTTTTTTTATTGTGAATTTACGAATTTGATTTTTACAAAAAAATAACTAAACACTAAAACACCTACTAGGAA